CAGGTGGTTGCACGGCAAGCATTTAGCCACTAGACCATCACACAGGGTCCTACATTTATTTTTGCTTTCCTGAAAACTTCTTTTAAAGTCCTCAATATAGTGCATAGTAGGCTAAGCCTCTACTTATGCTACATAATGCATTCTGGCTGCTCTACCTCCCATCCGGGTCCCTACCAATGGCATGGGAAGGCAGCAGAAGATGGCTCAAATGGTCCTTGCACACATGTGGGAAACCTGGCAGGAGCTCCTGGCCCTTGACTTCAGATCAACTCCACCCTAGCCATTGCAGCCATCTGGAGAGTGAACCAGTGGATGAAAGATCTCTCTCTCTCTCTCTCTTTCTCCTTCTCTGTGTAATTCTTCCTCTCAAAAAAAAAGTTCTTTACTATAAATTAAAATAGGAAAACCAGGAAATTTTAAAAAATATATTAATGTTAATAATTTACATAATTATTGCTTATAATCTTACAATATTATTTTATTATTGAAACTATACTTATTAATACTTCACTAATAGTAATTAAATATTACAAGGTAACTCCCCTGTAACCTCCCTCACACCAAGAAGTTGAACTTGGCTTCCAGTGCTCGCCTCAGCAGCACATACAGTAAAATTGGAACGTACTTTGCCACCTAAGTACCTCTACTGCACCCAATTCTCTCCCTCTCCAAAATTATCAACTGACTGTTTTAAAAAAATTTTTTTTATGATTTATTTATTTATTTTATTGGACAGTCAAATAGACAGAGAGCAGAAGAGACAGAGAGGAAGGAATATTTTCCATTTGCTGATTCACTTCCCAAGTGACTGCATGGCTGAAGCTGAGCCAATCCAAAGCCACGAGCCAAGAGCCTCTTTTGGGTCTCCCACATGGGTGCAGGGTCCCAAGGCTTTGGGTTGTTCCCGGCTGCTTTTCCAGGCCACACGCAGGGAGCTAGATGGGAAGCGGGACTGCCGGGAATACGAACCTGCACTTATGTGGGATCCTGGTGTGTGCAAGCGAGGACTTTAGCCAGTAGGGCTGCTGCACTGGGTCCTAACTTTTCTAATAGTACCTTCTTTACATTTCTTTATAGTTTTGACTCCCAAATGAGCATACGCAAGCATTTATTTGATTCCACTCTAAAAATCTACTTAAATTATCTTTTCTTTGTATTACTGATTTTCTTCTGTTGAGCAATCCACTACTTATAGCTTGTAGTTTTCTTTTTTTCTCAAAGTTGTAAAAAAATTTGATTTACAAGTAAAGATTGTATATGTTCAAGGTATACACAATAATAATTTGATATATTTGTATATACTGTATAATGATTTTCACAATCAAGTTAATTAAAGTATTTGTTAGCACTCATATAGTAGATTCCCAGAACTTGGTAATCTTATAAGAAAGTCTGTACTCTTTGGCTAACATTTTCCCATTTCTTGATGAGATAACTTCTATGTCTCTCTTATGCAGTTTTGTTGTTGATGATTTTATATTTATATTTTATTTATTTGAAAGGCAGAATTGAGCCTGGTGCAATGGCCTAATGCCTAAAGTCCTGACCTTGCATGCATTGGGATCCATATGTCCATATGGGCACCAGTTCCTATCCCGGCAGCCCCGCTTCCCATCCAGCTCCCTGCTTGTGGCCTGGGAAAGCAGTCAAGGATTGCTCAAAGCCTTGGGACCCTGCACCCACGTGGGAGACCTGGAGGAGCTTCCTGGCTCTTGACTGGCTCAGCTCCAGCTGTTGTGACCACTTGGGGAGAAAACCAATGAATGAAAGATCTTTCTCTCTGTGTCTTCTCTGTAAATCTGACTTTTCAAGAAAAATAACAAATCTTAGAAAAAAGATAAAGATGAAGAGACACAAAGAAATCTTCTGACTGCTGGCTCACTCCCCAGGTAGTTTTAACAGCTGTGGTTGGGCCAGTCCGAGGCTAGAAGCTTCATTCAGGTGTAAATCAATGGGTGCAGGACCCAAATACCTGAGTCACCTCCTGCTGCGTTTTCAGGAGCATTAGCCTGGAGCTGGATCAGGGGTGGAGCTGCCCAGCTCAAACAGGTGCCCACATGGGATGCCATTGTGACAGGTGGAGGTTTTACCTGATATGCCACTTTGAGGTCTTTTTGTTGGTTAAGCGTAGGGTGGATTAAAGAATATTGATTGGATGAAAGAATTCAAACAGATCTGTAAAGCTATTTTTATCCTCTTAATGTGAGGTTGTAAGGGTGAGCGCCAGCTTGCCAATGTGTGATTAATTTTATATTACATAAAGTTTTAATTAATCATTTGAGGATTATAGTAGAGTACTGGGCTATTTTTATAGGATGTTGTTGCTGTAAGTTGTTATAAACATCAAAGTACTCATATTTGACTTCAGCTATCGTCACAAAAATTTTCCATGATTGACAGAAATTGTAGATGTAGGCTGCTTAAAAAAATACCTCATTGATCGAATGCCACAATGTCTGCTATACAATCTTTAGCTAGAACAGCAGTTCCTAGTAAGGTTATAGAAGATATTTATTAATGTAGTTCTCAGCAAAGTTATATGAAAGTACTTCAAAAAATTAATCAAAATATGTAATTTGGGGCCTGGCATGATGGATCAATGGCTAAATCCTTCCCCATGCAAGCACTGGGATTCCACATGGACTTCCCGGGTCATGTCACAGCTGCTCCACTTCCCATCCAGCTCCCTGCTTTAGGCCTGTGGAGGCAGTGGAGAACGGCCCAAAGCCTTTGGACCCTGAACCCATGTGGGAGACCCGGAAGAAGCTCCTGGTTCCTGGCTTCAGATTGGCTCAGCTCTGGCTGTTGTAGTCATTTGGGGAGTGAGTCAGTGAATGGAAGATTTTTCTGTTTTTCCTTCTCTCTGTGGATCTGCCTTTCCAAGAAATAAACAAATAAAAAAAGGAAGAAAGAAAAAGAAAATGGAATTTTGATCCTTTATCACAGTAATCAGTTATTGCGGCATTTAATGGTGGCAGTTTGAGTTAGGGTAATATTTCTTGTTCATTCCTAAGTCAGCGTCAGAAACTCCAATCCTGGTACTGATGGAAACATCGCCTTGCTGCACGCAGCTATAACTGCTCTTCAAAAAGCCACCTGCATGCAAAACTCATAATGCAAGTCTTGGTGACTACACATACATGTTGGAGTGCACCAAAAGTCATGAGCCTCTTGGGTAAGACTTGCACAGGAAAGACTCCCGTGTTTGACAAGTGCCATGTCTCACACATTTTGGGGAACAGTATGATATACATGTTTTTGAAATGCCTTTATACATGGATTAAGGGTTAGGATTTCTCATACAGCCAGCAAGGTGAAGGTATGTGTCAGCCACTGTCACAACACCCAGTACTTCATGGAACAATCCAAAATGCAGAGCCACACAGCGGATTTCTTCGCTTTCTTTAAAGATATCATCATGCCTTGTCTCTCAATGACAGGGACATCTGAGAATGAAACAAAAACAAAACAGCCAGCAGAAAGCTGACTTTGTCAAGCCTGGTTCCGAAACGGAAGTCATGAAGCGTGATGCCATTTCCGGGATGGAAAAGCAGAAGTTGCTCTAGACATTGTCTATCCTTTCTGTCTCCTTTAGAACGGATTCAACAGCCTGTTCCTTCTAAGATAGTGGCACTACAGATGGAGCGGTAACTATTTTTCAGGTTCTACTTGACTTTTTTCGAACAACTTCTTTTAGATCTACTTGAGCACTTTTATAAGGTTGAAAACTCTAGGGGCATCCAAAAACCTCTAAGGGCACACACAGGCACGTACACACACACACACACACACACTCACAGACAAAATCTAGTTAGTAATGATTGATTTATTATTATTGTTATTTACTGGAAGGCAGCATGAGAAAAAAAGTGTGTTGCCGCCATAAGATGACCCAAGACTTCAGGTCCAGAAGTCACAAACTTGGGATGTTTTTATTTGGCGCTTATAAACAGTCTCCAACGTCCTTGCTCTACCTCGCTGATGTAGTCGGACTCGTCCAGTGACTGCGCAAGTGGCACATTGCTTAGTCAACCCTTCATCGCTGCCCTCTGTCCCTGAGTCATAGCTGTTGCCTAGCCAGGCCAGGAGCAAACAGGTCTTGACCCCCGCAGCACAAACAGCACACCAGCACCGGATGCATGCAACAGTGGGCAGCCAAGACCTCCCCCAGTGCAGGGCGTCCTTCTGGAGGGATGCTGAGCCACACTGAGGCAGACCTTCCTTGCCACTTAGGGATGGACGCCCCCTCAAGGGATGGGACACCTGGTGCAGGTGTGGTCCTGCGAGGACTGACCGGGGCCAAGTCACCTCTGAAAGGCGAGAGTTGGGGTCACCCTTCAGAGACGACAAGGGCGGGGGGCTCATGATGTCAACGGCAGGTCCTGGCACACGCAATCCCCCTCCCCGACCCGGCGCTAGCTGTGGAAAGCAACGAGGCCCCGGCGGCGGTCCTTCGTCCATTCCAACAGCATCCATTCCGAGACACCAGGGGCCCACAAGGCAGCGGACCGCCGCTTCCCGCGTCTTCTAGGCCGCGCGCCGAAATCAAACGGGACGCCGGCTCGTCGGGGGGCGGGGGGCAGGGCCGGCCGAGCCGCCGCCCGTGCCCGGCGCTGGGCGGGGCCGCCGCGAGGCCCGGGCGGGGAGGAGGCCGCCGGCCAGGAGGACGCCGGCCAGGAGGACGCCGGAGGCGCGCTCTGCGCAGGCGCGCGGCGCCCCGCCTCCTCAGCGTCGGCTGCCGGCCGGCGCGCGCGGGCCCTCCCACTCTCTCCCCGCGCCGCCCGTCAGGCCCCGGCCCTCGCTTCACCCCCGACGCCCCGGCGCGCGCTCCCGCGCGTCCTGCCGCCGACCTGCAGGCCTCGGGGCCTCCGGCTGCCTCGGGCCGCGCCCGCCGCTCTTCGTCGCGGGGCTCCCCCCGCTCCTCGCGTCCACGCTGTCGCCAGGGCCGGCGCGGCCGCGGGCAACCGCTCCCCCTCCCGCACCTACCCCGCCCCCTCCCCGCCTTTTCCGCCCTCCCGGTCCCCTCCCTCGGCCCGCTGCCTCTGCTCCAGATGAGGTGATGGCAACGGCCAACTTCGGCAAGATCCAGATCGGCATTTACGTGGAGATCAAACGGAGCGATGGTGAGGCGCACGGCCGGCCCCGCTGGGCCCGGCCCCTGCCTTTGCGTGTGCGCCGAGCCGGAGCGGGGACGCGGGCGCCGGCCGCCTCATTGATTGCTCCGCGGGGCTGTGGGGGCGGGAAGGCGGCGGCCGCGGCGCTTTTGTGTGTGGCGTGTGCGGCGGGCGAGGCCGGCGTGGGGGCCGCCCGGGCACCGCTGCAGTGCGCGGCGGGTGGGGGGCAAGGCCGGCCGGGGTGTCGCGGGCTGCCCGGCCTTTCCATGGGGGGGCTCCGGGCGGGCGCCCCGGGCTGCTCCCAGCATCTCCATCCTCCCCAGGGACGTGAGCCCGGGAGGGAGCCGGCTTCGTGAAGGATAAGCCTGCCTCGCGCGCTGCGCCCTGGCTTCTTCCTTTGACCTGGCGGGGTTGGGTGTGTGTGTGTGTATGTGTGTGTGTGTGTGTGTGTGGCGGTGGTGGTGGGGTGGGGGAGCGGAGATTTGGGGGTTTAGGGAGCCGGCCACCGAGCGCCGGCGAGGGCCGATCCGACCCGGTGGGTCTACACTGGAGACTGGTTGCCAGGCCTCTGAGGCTTTTCGCGGTTGTGCACGCTCGCTGCCTTTTTTTTTCTTTTTCTTTCTTTTTTTTTTCTTTCTTTCTTGGGAGAAGGATAGAGAGAATGTCGCGCTGGGCCATGAATCGGGGTGGGGAGAAATAGCTGATCAGCCGCTCCAAGGTGACGGTTCTGAGATGGTCAGGGCGCCGCGCGCAACCGCTGGGTGGGGGGTGGGTGCCGGATGTTGGTATTTTCACACCCAGGGTAGAGGTGGCTGAGAAAAGTGTAAGGCAAGGTGCTGGCACGAGCCTGGCTGGGATTTTTCCCTCCCCTTGTATTATTTTTCAGAGCCTTAGGCTTATGTATTTTTCTCGTTGCTTCCTCTGGAGGAAAATGTTTTATGTCATTCACTTGGGGTGTGGGGTGAGATAAGCTTGCCAGCTTTGGACATCATTTATGCTGTAAATGAGAAAACGCTTAGATGGAGGTTCCCCCTCCCCCCCTTCAATATGAACACCAGTGGAGATGCGTAGGATTTAGCATCCGGAGGCCTTCTTGACCTCCATCCCTTTTATATCCATTCCTTTTTTTCATGGCTCTTAGCTTGGTCAGTAGTAACATTCCAACCACATTCATGCCCTCTCAGTTTTGACCAGGTCTGAGCAAGTTGTATGAAGCTCTGCTGACTTTCCACGTTGGCTGTTCGACCCACTGGGAGACCCCGCTGTGCTAATGATTCTTTTCTATTTGAGGTCACTTGTGGTAAGAACCAGAGCAGCAATACCTATGTGTGAAGAAATAAGGCGTACTGTCTAGAGGTGTAGAACTTAACAGTGACACGAGTGGAAAAGACAGCTCTTTTACTTGGGTTTGGAGTTCTTTCATATTTTTTCGCTTCAGATCACTGCCAGCTCTATTTCATCTTTAGGCCAATTCTTTTTACTAACAAATGATTTGCCTATTTTTCAAATTGTAGGTACGTAAGATACACATTTTTACATCCTTAAGTTTAGTGTCGCATTCAGGAGGTTTCTTTGTTTTGATTTTTGCTGGACGTGAAGCACTTTTGGTTCTTGGGGAGGGTTCTAGAATATAGATTTCTTAAAAATTTTTATTTGAAAGGCAGGGTTACACAGAGAGAAGGAGAGAGAGAGAGTAAAAAGCCTACTATCCACTGTTTCACTCCCAAAATGGATGCAGCAGCCTGAGCTGAGCCAGTTGTTAGCCAGGAGGAGCCAGGTTCTTCCTGCTCTCCCGTGTGGGTGCAGGGATCCAAGGAAGCCATCCTTCACTGCTTTCTTGGGGCATAAACAGGGAGCTGGATCAGAAGTGGAGCAGCCAGGACATGAACAGGTACCCGTATGGGCGCTGAAACAGAGGTTTAGCCTTCTATGCCACAGAGCCAGCCCCCTAGGATATAGGTTTCTGATAATCTTTCAGCCTTCACATACGAAAGTTTTATATATATATATTTTAAGTTTTTAAACATTTATTTTTATTGAAAAGGCAGATCTATAGAGAGGAGAGACAGAGAAAGATCTTCCATCTGCTGGTTCACTCCCTAAGTGGCCATGATGGCTGGAGCTGAGTTGATTTGGAGCCAGGAGCTTCTTCTGGGTCTCCCACACAGGTGCAGGGTGCCAAGGCCTTGGGCCATGCTCTGCTGCTTTCCCAGGCCACAAGCAAGATGGGAAGTAGAGCAGTTGGGACATGAACAGGCCCCCATATGGTATCCGGTGTTTGCAAGAGAGGATTATCCAGTTGAGCCATTGTGCTGGGCCCAGTTTTATGTTCATATGTAAGCGAGAGTTGAAACCACATTTTTTGGGAAAGAACATACACATTTTGAAAGTATTTTCCCGTAAGAAATGGACATCACTCTATTGAGTATTATCCTAACATACAGGCTTAGAAATATGTCTTGGATGCTGGATGGAGTTAATGGAAGGCAAATAGTATGTGGAGGACTTAAAAAGAAGGAGATGATCATTAGCTAGGACGAGGGTGTTTCACAGTAAAAATTAAAATTTAGGAGACTTTCCTTGGCCTTTACTTTCAAAAGGCTGTCTCACTTCCTCCCACTCCCATAACAGACTTGTGTTAGATAAAACACCAGTGGTTTTTGTTGCAGAAATACGCTTCGTAGTTGGGTGAACACTGATGTAATGTTTGAGGCAGTGAAAGTCACACTGAGCGAAAAGGATTGCTACTTATCGGTCACTTGATGTTTTTGCTCCTTGGCAGTGATCCTTGGGTCTGTTTCATGCCACACTTTTCCCATCAGTAATGCTCATATATTAATAAAATAGATTCTAAGGGTGAACAGGTGAGCCAAAATGGTGAGCTTATCCTGTCTTTCAAGACACTGGTGGAAAACAAAAAACACCCTGATAAATGTTCAGTGATTGCTAAATCAAATGGCCTGTTAGCCTCCAAATCCCTAAGTCATTCTGCATCACTGATGAGACAGCATATTTCCTTAAGTTAGCACTTGGGTCCATGACGCTTCTGTTATGTTTTCCAGCTGCACTGGGGACAAGGGGCTTCTAGGGAATTCAGTGGAACAGTGTTCAGCTCCCCACATCCCACTTCAACCAAAGCCAAGGTATTACAGAATTAAAATATTTTAGCTAGTAAATTCTTTTCTTTTTTTTTTTTTTTAAGATTTATTTATTTTATTGGAAAGTCAGAACTACAGAGAGGAGAGACAGAAAGCTCTTTCATCCGCTGATTCACTCCCTAAATGCCTACAACAGCTAGTGCTGGGCTAATCCAAAGCCAGGAGCTTCTTCCAGGTCTTCTACACAGGCCCAAGGTCCCAAGGCTTTGGGCCATCCTTGACTACTTTCCCAGGCTACAAGCAGGGAGCTGGAAGGGAAGTGGAGCAGCCAGGAAACGAATCAGCGTCCATATGGAATCCCAGCACACACAGGGCCAGAACTTTAGCTGCTATTGTGCCGGGCCCAGCTAGTAGATTCTTAAGTTACCGAAGGACCACAATGACCAGAGCTGGGCTGGGTTGAAGCCAAGAGCTTCTTCTAGAACTCCCACAAGTACAGGGACTCAAGGATTTGAACCATTTCTGCTGCTTTCCCAGACACATATTGTAGGAAGCTGGATCAGAAGTGGGACAACTGAGACTTACACCAGTACCCATGTGGTATGCTCATGCCAAAGGCAGAGGCTTTCCCCTCTGTGCCATGGTGCTGGCCCTTGCATATAATTTTAGAGTGAGTCTTCACTACTGGTTTTTGTTTGTTTGTTTTAAAATTTATTTATTTATTAGAAAGACAGAGGGAGAGATCTTCCATTTGCTGACTTCCCAAAAACCCACAATGACAAGGGATAAGTACAAAAAAGATCACACTGGACACAAATGTGTTATGTTTAGGAGGAGTCTTTATTGGCCAAGCTTGTTGGAAGCAGCTCCTGTTGCACTCCCGGAGCCACTGAGCAGGGCTCAGTGGAATAAGCTTTTTTTTTTTAAAGATTTTTTATTTTTATGGGGAAGTCAGATATATAGAGAGGAGGAGAGACAGAGAGGAAGATCTTCCAACTGCTGATTCACTCCCCAAGTGGCTACAACTGCTAGAACTGAGCGAATCCGAAGCCAGGAGCTAGGAGCTTCCCTGGGGTCCCCCATCTAGGTACACAGGTACAGGGTTCCAAGGCCTTGGGCTGTCCTTGATTATCTTTCCAACCCACAAGCAGGGATTTGGATGGGAAGCAGGGCCAAGTCAGGGGTTTTTAAGCCCTCATCCTCCAGTCAGATTTAGAGCAGTGTGGACAGTTTCCACATTCAATTAAGTAAGTGGCAGGAGGCAGGAAGGGAGCTACTGGAGCCCAAAGTTTTCCTGTAGTTAATTAATCTAAAGTAGTGCCAGAGGGACCAGGTAGGAGGAGCCTCTGAAACTATTTCCATGCTGTCAGTCAATTTGAATGATGGGGAGGTGGAAGAGAGGAGCCTCTGGAGCTGGTTTCGCACATTCAGTAAACTTAAATGGTGCGAGAGGAGATAGGAAGGGTGGGGGCAGAACCCCCATTTCTGCACTTTCCATGCTGTCAACTAACCTGACAAGTGGGTGCTAACTGGCTGTACCTCATCACAAGGCCAAAGCCAGGAACTTCGTCTGGGTCTCCTCTGTGGCTTCAGGGGCCCAAATACTTGGACCATCCTCCACCACTTTTCCAGGCATGTTAGAGGAAGCTGAGTTAGAAGTGAAACAGCCTGTATCTTGGAGTGTTGTCTGCATGAGACGTTGGCATTGCAGGCAGTGGCTTAACCCTGCTTCTCTGCAATCATGGCCCTGTTTTTGTTTGTTTGTTTGTTTTTGAATTTCATTTTTTATTTTTGATGATGTTTACATAGTTTACCAGGGTGGAAAGGGTTGAAGGGAGTATTCCAAATCTTCCCCCTCTTCCTCCTATATCTGGGGGAAATTAGGAGAGAAACCACATCCAGTCTCCCAAA